ATATAAAGTTTGGTTTCTCTCTATTTCGATTTACATCATGAGATAAAAGATTGGGAATTCCGAAAACGTCAGAATTTCCGGAATAGTGAAGCTGCCTGCATTTGTCAATCGCATTTATCGCAATGCATGCACTGAAAAAATATATACCGTTTAATAAATCATTTGTTTAAACAATGCAAATTAAATATTTATCAAATACAAAATTATACAATATTTATTTGACATACAAGAATTTGACATACAAGAATTAATTTGATGTAACATTCATTTTTTTACTGAGTAAATATTTATTTGCTGTAAGTATAAATATTTATTTGATACTATTTAAATAAATATTTATTAAAATTTAGTATATTTAGTATATTTTTCTCAGTGTAAAAATAATCGAGTTTCCATTGATGTCATCTCCTGCTTTCGTTATATGATTTATGTCTTTTAGTTAAATCCAACGACTTTCCAGAGAGTAATGATTCTATCGCTAGTTTCATCATCGAACAAAAAATACGTCGTGTTAAGGCTAAGGACATAGTTTCATTTTGCTCTCGTTGAAGATCGTATTTTAATCAAGTTGTAATTATTACCATTCCAGATAAAGCGGCCGGCAAAAAAATTACTTAAAAATGCGCCGTAATTTTTACAATGGTGGATTTATCTGTTTCACTGGATTGGTATCTTTGACTTGTCTACTACTTGTCCTTTCACTGTCGACATCGATCGCTGGTACGTTCTTTATTTTTTTTCCAGCATTTTATTATTTATTCTTATAAGGAAATATGAAGTCCTCTTTCGATTTTGATAAATGTCTAATATGTTCTTCAGATCAAAATAAGGGACACATATTTTTTTTATAAGGGCTGCATATTCACGGTCGCATATCCCTTTAAAAAAATTGATTACTTTCTTTTAATATAAACATGTATTTCTCTTAATATACGTTACAATAAAAAATGTAAGAAATACTGATTTCTCCAAAAACACGCAGATAAACTTTGCCGCTCGTGGATGCACTTTGAATCTTTGATATTTGACCTCTCATATCTTCTCTGTAAAAGTGGATCAGTGTATTAACACTGACTTTAGTACTACTAACTGTACTTATAACTGTACTTATAACTGTAATATCAATGAATATTTACTATTTTTCATTAATAATATACTGATTTATTTTTAAAAGTTATGATTTTTACAGATTGAATCTGCAGAAAATAGTAATCTCTAAAAGTGAATCAGTGTATTATCACTTGAAAAACAATTAATATTCGCTGATGATTACATCAACTATAAGTGCAGCACTGAAGTCAGTAATACACTGATTCACTTTTAAAGAGTTAACATTATGATTTTATGACATATTTAATATTTTTCTCATTACGTGCAATGACAATTTCTAATTATTATACATACCCGTTCTCGTTCAATTCTCCAATAGACGTAATCATAAAATAAATACGTATATTTTATACTAAAAATCCATTGCGCACTAATCATCCTTTTCGCTGTTTTATCCTTTTAATTATTCTTTTATTATTCTAATTTCTCGTATTAAATCATTATTTCACAAAAACCCATTGGGATTTACAAATCATACGATTTGCAGCACCGCTTGAGCACGAGATCGGCGCCGTGATACCCGACTTCACGGTATCTAACAATGCGTTCACTCAACGTAGATGTCCACTTCTCAAGTGTAAGAATTGCGAATCTGGATTTAAAGTATGTATCCATTATAACTGTACATTCATTTTATTAATTTTACTATAACTATACATCTACTTTATATTTAGCATTTTTAACTTTTATTTAGCTTTATTCAATGTATAAATTTATATCATGACAGAATTATGATGATAAAATAAATATGTTTTCAAAAAATGTAATTTTAAAAAAATTCTTTTTATTTTATAATTTTTTAAATTTATTTTATAATTTTTTATAAATAATAAGCAAAACTTAACCAGATATGAAAAAATAAATCATTATTTTTATGTTATTACAAAAATTTAAAAAAATCGACAAACCTTAAAATCATCGTTTTACTTCTTTTTAATTCTGCTTTCTTTTTATGCTCTTTTTCTTTTTATATTTTATGTTTTTGTTATTCTTATTATCTATATTTCGAAAATGATAAAACATTTTCCTTCCAATTTTTGAAACAATTCAATTTCGTAAGTCATTGTATAACATTGATTTATGACATTTTAATTCTAATTTAATTTATTTATATGGCTATAAATATTCGAAGATATATAAAGATACAAAAAAGAATTAGTATATTTTTAAATAAAATTTTGGAGTAGATATATGGATTTTTTCTTCATATAAAAGAGGTTTATGATGTGTGTGAAAAATTCTCATGAAAATCTTTTCAAATGCTGTTACTGAAAGAATCAACGTTTCCAATAGGTCAATGAGGCCGGCTGTCAAACATGCACGTGCAAAAATTAAGTCGCATGTCGCGACTTAATTTGTCCGGAAGGTGAGACATGTGAATTAGTCACCGTAAATTGTTTTCGACCGCCGTCTCCCAGATGCACCATGTAGAAGAAGAATAGATCAACAATCTAATCTATAAGCAAACCTTTACAAATTATCGATTCTCCGTGGCTGTTTCTCAACAGCAATATGTAAATCAATCTATGGGAAATAAATGCCTTCAACGGTCTAGTTGGAATGCTTAAATGCTTGTATAATTCTGTGTAAATTCATTTACTATGTTTGTAGTCCTTTTAATTAACTATGCGTCGAAATAATTCTTCAATCTTGAAACGCAAACTCTACTGAACTACCGCAATAATATCACTAGTTAAATTGACTAGCAATTTAACAGTTCGATGCTCTTACGCATCTTAGAATAATCTTAATAATGCTGTATGACATATTAAAATCTGTAAATAATAATAAATAAAATCAGAGTAAATGACATATTAAAATGTGTAAATCAACCAAATAAATCAATCTATTCGCCTACAGCTGCCTAGTGAAATCTAAACAAGAATATGGAATCTGCTATAATCATCCACTCATATATACAGCACAGAAAGTTTACAGAAAATATACAGAAATATTTCACTAGAAGAGTATAATATTAAACGTAAAGAAATATTGTTGCAACATTGTTACAACTTTGCAGCAATGTTAAAATGTCAGCCTTCAAAAAGATTGCAATAAAACATAACAATTCATTGCATCACATTATTGTACTATCTGTACCATATAATATTTTTAAATTGGAATTTTTGTACTTATATTGATTAAAATACAAATTTTAACATTTTTCCTAGAAAAAAACTTTATTTTTTTACTAATACGAATCTTCATTTTTAGATGCTCAAATATCATGATATTAGAGTTCAATAAGTTATAATTTAACTTTTTAAGTCTTAATATCACGATATTATTTTCTTTTTAAAGTACATATTTTGAGTATCGTAACGTAATTAGATATTTTTTATTCACATGAATTTTTAATCGATATCATTTTTTCAGAACTCTTAATATTTGTTCAACAGAAACAAGCATAATTTTAAAAAAGCAGCTAAAATTGTTAAAATTATTTTTTATCGCAGACTATTCGAGAATTTGATTATAATAGACATCTTTCTTTGATAGAAAATCAATTTCAAATCGAACAAAAAATTTCTACGGTGAAGATTATTCTGTATAAATATCCTGTATAAAAATACAATGCAATCGTAATAATAATAGCTACAAAACACAAATTTCGAAATTATATTACAATAATTTATAATTATATCAATCAAACAAAATTGCACATATTAATTAGATCTCCATGCAAACGCTGGAGAATCAATTATAAATTTATTCATTTAGCAGATAGCAGAATGGAGTGAATTTTTTTACCTTATAGTCACCTAATAAGTCATAGAGTAATTTAATTATATACCAAATTGAATAAAATAATATTTATAGAAGATATATATTTCAATTTGTATAATATTTAGCTTCAACCAACACACTGACGATAATTTATTTTATTTTACGTAAATGAATTATTTAATGTCTTAAAAATTATATTACAATGCTATAAAAAATACAAACTATAATAACGAAAAATACAATGCAATCGTAATAATAATAGCTACAAAACACAAATTTCGAAATTATATTACAATAATTTATATATAAAACTCTTATATTATAGATTTTACATTATATATTTAAGACTACTACGTTCGGGGAATGCTATCTATCAGAGTTATTATCATGATGAAAGAAAATTTCTTATGTTATTTTACCTCTTGCTATGTTCGAAAAACATCCCCTCGAGTGATTATGTCCTTTTATGTACTATTAGACGTAAAATATCTAATTATACGTTTATTATAACGATAAAGATAGTATTGAGTAACTATTTATCAACACTATTACTGTTAAAAAAAGTAGCATTTATGTATAACTTAATGTTCTACAACTTCGAGCGTTTGACTTCAAATGAGATAAGAAAACCTAAAAATAAAAAACTTTTAGACTCATACTTTTTTATGAAACTCTAGCTCTTTAAAAAGGAAACTTGCGAACTGCAACAGTAGTTTTCCGAGTTCTTCATGAGCAAATCATAGAAAGTGAAGTAAGTATCTAGTACAGTTATAAAAATCATTACATGATAATGGGCAAATAAATTTCTCTTTTGGAAATGGCTTTCGCAATGTGTTCGTCTACATAGCTGCTGAAAAAATATCAAAAAGCGGCTGTAAACGGCTATAAGCCGCTTTTAATAGAAATAACGTTCGTATTTTCTACATCTCATTTCACATTATAAAATGAAAGGTTGAGAATCCCAAGAATAGGGACTTCTGGAATGAAGTAGCCTTTTGCGTTAGTTAATCGCGTTTATCGTAATGCATAGAAATTTGATCTTTATCGACGCTATGTTCCATTGCACTTTCGTTATATTACATATTCATGTCTGATTCTAATTATATTTTTAATTCAAGGACTTATTTTTAGAGAATATAACGTTCTGATTTAATCGAAAAGTAAAAATGCGTCCCGTTAAAGTAAAGTCTAAAGTTTCGTTGTGCTCGTTGGAAGTCGTGTTTTAATCATGATGTATAATTGTCGCTATTCCAGATAAGCCAGTTCAAAAATTACTTGATGTAATGAAAATGCGCGATGATTTCTATAACAGTAGCCTTATCTGTTTCATTATGTGGATATCGTTGACTTGTCTGTTGTTTGTCCTCTCAACAACGATCATCGCCAGTACGTTTTTTATTCTTCTCTTTCTTTGGTATTTCATTATTTTTTTATTAATTTGATTCGTTTCCGTCCAATGTGCACGCAAACACAAAGCATAAAAAACAAATAAAATGATCACGATAAAATATATTTCAAATATGAATAGACATTTTCATTGTGCATTTTGGCGCAGCACTAGTTTCAATTAGATTTAATTACTTGTTAACTTTAATTAATTTGTAAATGAATCGCGTGACTCGCTCTAAAAAATTAAAGTAAAAAAATTATACTCCTAGTTTATGAATGCTCGCGTTCGAATTCGAGACTATCTTCTCTTTGCAATCATTCTAACATATTGTAGTAACAAAATAATGTTATAAAACGCAGTTTTTATTATATTATTTTATTATATTATTTATTATATTATTTCTTTATTATATTATTTTCTTCTATGAGTTTTGTATCATCATGAAAATTTTACATTGTGATCTTGTTTCGTGATATTTGGATTTAAAACGAACACTATGTGTTTTAAATTCAAATACATATATACATATTGTACTGTATTATCTTGAAAAAGTTTAAAACTAAAATATCTAAGTGTTGAAAAGTAGAGACAAGAATAAAATATACTTTTTTTTTTATAATAATAATGTATGTCGACAGCGTGAAAATACGGAATAACTGTCAATTATCGCTGGAGATGGCTTAAAATAAAGTCGAAATATTTAATTTTCTGATGTAATCATGTAGTAAATATATTTATATACTGAAAATCCACAAATCACTGCATTGTTATATTATATTTTCATTTGTTTAATTATTTTTCCATTATTCTTACGTTTCACATTAGCTGTGTTCATACAAAAGTCGGATTCCATCTAGATTTACGAACTGAATGATTCGCAGAGCCAAACCGTCGATTTGGCACCAGGATAAAGATTAACAATCGCTATATTCAATATAAATTTTAAACTATTAGTATTGAAAATATTTAAAAACAAGTAAAACAAAAAGGGAATAAAATGACAAAGTGGATAAAATGATAATTTATTAAGACAAATTGCTAATTTTTTCAAAATAACATGTGACGGCCGATGCTGAACTCATTAAACGATTTAGATAAAAATAAATAGTTTTTTGTAATTTGATTTCTGACCACACAAGTGGATAGTATATAATAATTTAACTTGTCTTTTTGTCATTTCATCCACTGTTGAGAGTTCCATATTATTCGCAAAATGATAAAATAGTTATTAGAAGTTATTAGAAAATATCTTTAAATATCATTTACATTTGAAAAATTCTTAAACATTTTCTTTGTAATTTCGGAAACAGTTTAATTTCGTGAATCACTGTAATAACTTCAATTTATGATATAAAAATTTTAGTGCTTCAAAATGACAGTTAAACATTAAAAGGTATGCGAAGTGCCATTTTAATCAATCCAATTAATTACCTCCAAAATTGATAATATAAAAACATATTTTATTTAGACGAAATGGAACGTTTTAGTGGGCATATTTTATTCACATTGTTTTTTATTCTAGATAAAGACATTAAAAAGATATAAAGATCAATTATACTTTTTTAAATAGAATTATATAATCTTTGTACATATCGATTCTTCTGCATATGAAAGTTCTAAAATAAAATTGTCAAAAACTCAATAATTTATAAGATATTTTATATTTTATTCTGATATTTTGATATGAATATTTTTATACAGAATAAAATGAGATGAATCAATAAATGTAAAAAAACACATTGTTGTTTTAAAAAAAAAATGTGCAATCATTTTAAAAAGTAAAGATGATCTTCTCGGCTTCTACCTAAAGAAGAAATAACGTGATCTAAATATATCCTGCTCGAAATCGTTTCACTTTCATCTGAAACATTTTTTAACATTATTAATTTAAAAAAAATTGATTAAATTTATTAAAATGGGAACTCTGTATAAAGATGCAAATAGAGTTTATGTGTTTTTAAATAGCAAAGATTAGATTCTTTCTTCACATAAAATAATCTTGGTTTGTGATGTTTTTTTGCATAAAAAAATTTCAAATACTGTTATTGAAAGATCCAACGTTTATGATAGATTTATCTACCCATCTACCATGTCAACTGCAATTCTAAATGCCAATGCTGGGATCCCTGTACTGTCATGCTCTGTCCAGAAGACCATATATATATGTCAGAAACCTTGATGTGTATGGCACCGCCATGTCCTATAACAAGTATCTGTATGAACACATCTTCAACAACAGCTCCACCTGATTTGGCAGACTAATCCTTGTAGATCACCAATTTATCACAGCTATTTCACGCCAGATAAATTAACTTATTCGCGGTTGTACAACTGCCTGATGTATAAAAGTACTTCTAATAAGAGTTGAGACATCTTGTACCGATTTATTTGTGTAAAGCTTTAAACAGAATTTCAAAAATTAAACATTTACTTTATATACCATTCATATTTTCTTACAAAAGCAACTTCAATATACTTCAATATATAGTTTTCAAAACTATTCAGAATCGATCATACATTAATTTTCTTATGTTAAAGCTAAACAGTACCAGTTTTGATACTGAGTTCAGATAAACCTTGTATTAACACCTTGTATTAACGGGTTGTTAATCGAAAATGACAATAAAATGACTCACTATAAATATTTTGAAGTGTTTCAGTCAATCAGAAAAAATAATTTTACTAACTGCCCAAACAAAGAATTTGAAATTTATGTTACAATGTTATAAAAAATACACTAATTACGAAAAGTACAACGCAATCTTAATAATACTTACATGATACAAATTTTGGAAACTATATTACAATAAGACGAATTTAAAACTCTTATATTATTAAGACTATTGTGTTCAAGGAGCACTAGCTATCAGAATTATTATAATGAAATAAGAGCATTATTCTTATATCATGAGCATTATTATATTATGTATATTATCATTCTTACTATGTTCGAGAAACTCTTCCTCAAATCATTATGTCCTTATTTTATGTATTATAAACATACATAACGTAAAACATCTAATTATACGTTTATTATAACGATAAAGATTGTTGAATAACTATTTGCTAACATTATTGCCGCAGCGTTTATGTATAATATAGGATATTACTTATTGTTTTGTAACATTATTCACGTGTTTGACGTTTTTGACTTCGGATGAGGTAAGAAAAAATTCTTGAGGAAACTCTAGTTTCATAAAAAGAAACTCGAACTTCAGCAGTAGTTTCTTAAGTTCCTCATGAACAGATCATAGTACGTTATACAGACTTAAGTCCGAAAAGTGAAGTAAATAGTATAGTAATAAGAACCATTATATGACAATTAGCAAATTATAATTACATTTAAATAATATTTCAAGTTTATTATTCTGTATATAATTTGTTATATTATATTATGTCATATTATTACTCGAATATTCGAACATGGTAAAATGGTTTCATGCTGCAAAAAGGTTAACAATAAGTTACCCGACTATGACAGCCTTCTTCCACTTGTCTTTTTATTGAAAGAAAGTGCAATCTTGTAATGGAAAGATTCAATACGACAGAAATCTGTTGTACTTATTTCGAAAGATCCATAAAATTAATTTTATTAATGAAAAAAATTAATCTTTATTCTATTCTCCTGATTGTGTATAATAAAAATGCAGAGTTACTATAATATTACTATTGCATTTAAGTCGTTCATTATGTTACAAGTGTCATGTTTTATAAACTACAGCATGCGTTTATTTCAATCGAAATTCGAGTTTTGATTCCATTTGCTCATCACCTTTATTTTTAATCTCACGAATACTTTTAATTTTAACTATATCTTTTAATAAAAATTTTCTCGCATGATCTAATTTGTTCTCTTAGATGAATAAATATATTTTGCATATATTTATAAAGGATAAATAATGTCATTCTTTTTAATTATTGTGTTTTCCGCAGTATGTATTTGTCTGTGCATAGCTGCGGAAAAAATATCAAAAAGGCAGCTTCGAATACAAATAAAAATTGTATTTTCTCCATCTTATTTCATATTACACAAAGAAAAGTTAAGAATTTCAAGTACATAGAGATTTCTGGAATAGAGTATCATTCGTTAATCACGTTTATCGCAATGCAAATCATGTCTCCATCGATGCCATACCTCCAATTGCACTTCCATTATATCATTCATGTCTAATCCTGGCTATATCTTAAATTCGAAAACTTTTTAAAAAACGTAACATTTTAATTTCATCAAGAAGAAAAATGCATCTCGTTAAAGGAACAAAGAGAGATTCATTCTATTGTCGTTAAAAACATATTTTAATTAAGAAACAATTATTACTATTCCAGATAAGTAATAGCAACCGGCTAAAAAATTACTTGATTCGATGAAGACACACTGTGATTCCTACAACAATGGGCTTTCCTGCATCGTTATGTGGACGTCGTTGACGTGTCTACTGTTCATCTTTTCGCTATTAACAACGATTACTGCTAGTATGTCTTCTATTCTTCTATTTTTTTCAGTGTTTTATTATTTACTCTTTGTTTGACTCCTTTCCGTTCAATGTGCGTGCAAATACAAAGAAACAAAGAAAACAAAATTGTGATAAAATATATTTCAAAAGTGAATAGACATTTTCATTGTACATTTTACGCAACACTGGATTTAATTAGAACTTGTGAATATTGGATCGGACAACGCGATCATTTAAAAAAATGGTTAAAAAAAAGATTAAAATATTTACTTCTAGCTTATAAGTGCTCGCGTTCAAATTAGAAACCATCTTCTCTTTGCAATTAAATTAAAGACTATCTTCTCTTTGAAATCACTCTAATAATTATAAAACTATTTTGTAAAAAGCTGCAGTTTCTATTAGTTTTTTACTCCCGACTACTTCCAAATTTCTCTATCCTCTAATATTCCTGCAAATTTCAAAATCAGTAAAGAACAGAGCATAGCCTTTCTTGTTAGTTATTTTATTTTAGTAATAAAATTTCATGTTGTAAGAACTGATGCATTAACTTATTCTTTATTCTATTATTTTGTGTCGACATCAAGCTTTACATTATAATCTTATTTCTTGATTCGAATTGATTTTGTCAGCCTAATAATTAGTGAATAAAAGATATTTTAATTCTCCGATATAATCATGAAGTAATATATTTGTACATTTAAAATTCGTTACGCACAAAGTGTGTCGATCTTAATCATATTTTAATCATTTTTTTATTATTTTAATGTCTCGCATTAACTCTGTTAATACAAAAAAAACCGAATTCTATTTGGATTTATAAAATGAATAATTTGCAGAGCCGACCATCAATGAGATTGGTACCAAAGTGATCAGCAAGGATGCCATCAACGTAATGTGCCCACCAATCATATGTACCTTATACTGCCCATGGGGATTCGAGGTATATACATATAAAATTATACATCTACTTTATGTTTAACATATTTAATGTAAATTTAATATTATCAGTACCTATTGAAAATGTTCAAAAAACGAGTGAGATAAAAGAAGGATAAGTTAGTAAAATGAATAAAATGATGAATTGCTAATTTTGTTGAACTAATAATAGATAACGATTGATGCTGAACTCATTAAAGGGTTTAGATCATAATAAATAGTTTTTTGTAATTTGATCTCAATTTGTCTACAAAAAATGAATAATGTACAATAATAAGAAATTTACATTTTAGACATACTCTATGTAATTTTATGATGTCTATTTATAAGAAATGACATAATTATATGGATGACATATTCATACATGTAGATTATATTTGTTACTGCTACTCAAATTAATTCTTTAATATTATGTATGTAAATTAAAGTAAAGATGATCTTCTTGACGCCTCCATCTAGAGAAAATAATGCGAGCAAAATATATCCCTCTTGAAACCGTTCCACTTTCATCTGAAACATTTTTATATTAGTAATTTTATATTAGTAATATTGGAACAAATTGATTGGATTGATTAAAATGGGAATCTTGTATAGAAATGTGTGTAAAAGTCGTGCATTTTTAAATAGAAATTTAAACTAGAAATTCTTTCTTCACATGCAATAATTTTAGTTTATGTAAAAATCTTTTGAAGTATTCTTATTGAAAAATCTAATATTTTACGTTAGATTGATCTGATCACCTTCTGTCCTATATGCTCGTGCTGGATCCCCCGTTTCTGCGCCATTTTCTGTCCGGAAAGCCAAATCTGCGAGCCAGAATTCTTGCCATGTCTTATACCGCCATGTCCTATAATAGGTATCACATGTATGAACGTCACGTCTTCATCAATAGTCTGATCTGCATGCTGATCTGAATTCTTGTATCATCGATTTGCCACTATTTCTTTGCAATATGCCAAGTAAATTAATTTGTCCGCGGATGTACAGCTGCCTAGTGTAGAGTACCTCTAATAAAAGTTAGAACACCTTACTAATTTATTTGTGTACAGCTTTAAACAGAATAAAGAAAATCAATCATTTACTTTACAACATTTGTGTTTCCTAAAAGCAGCATCCTGTAATTCTGAAATTCGGACATACGTTTATTTCGACTGGTTTTCATGTGCTAAAGGTATTGTATTATAATTTGGACACTGAGTTCAATCTCTAACACCCTTAATTTATAGTTAACTGAGTGTGTTAATCGAAGATGCGATTAAAGTCCCACAAATACTTTGAAGCATTTAACTGACTGATCAGAAAAAAAATTTTACTAATTCAAAATATGCTTTATAGTAAGTTGAATCTCAATCTTATATTATTTTACCTTTGATTGTGTTCGGGGCATACTCTGTTGAATAATTCTATCCTTATATATATATATATTTTATGTATCATTAGATATATTACTTTATGTATCTAAATGTACGTTTACTATATCGATAAAGATTATCAAATTATTTCCTAACATTATTGCCATTAAAACTCATCGTAGTGATCATTTACATAACGATACTACGCGTATTGTTTTGTGACTCATTCTCCACATATATTTAAGACAAGACAAGAAAATATGAAGATAAAAAAAGAGAGAGAAATTCTAATTCTATAAAAAGGAAACCTTCTGACTGCAGCAACAGTTTCTCGAATTTCTCACAAGCAAAACAGTAGTGTACATTTAACAGACTTAAGCCCAGAAAGTAAAGTAAGTAGTATAGTAAAAAAACTATTGTATGACAATTGGCAAATAAATTCTTCTTTTGAAAATAATAACTTTCGCGAATCTTACAATTTACGAAAAATGTAAGACGATTCGACACACAATATCTGTTCCTTTTTTTTCCTCGTGTTTCCTGTTTCCTTTTTTTTTTTCGTGCCGACGCATCGCACTTTTTAGTTTCGACATGCGCTTGACGCGATTTTGACTTTTTTTTCATTCAAGCGATTCCAGCAATGTATGTCGAGATTCTTCTCTTGGGAAGATCTTTCATCTATTCTTCTTTTCGTAAACTTCCTATTTCTCTTTTCTTTTTTCTCACGAAAGTATAAGATGACACATTCGGAATACGATGCGCCATGACAATAGAAAGTTAAAGGTTAAGATCCAGAAATGCTGAAGATAAAGAATGACCCACAACCGTTGGAGATCGAGCAGACGCACGCAATTACTTATATGAAACGTTGGGGAAAATATCATTGATTAAGTAGAAATGGTGCTGGAGTTAAATCTCTTGATAACTAATGCCATAATAAAAATGTGAATCATACTTTATGAGCGTATTGAAGCTCGTTATCATTTATCAGCCTTTTCAGCCTTTGCTTCATTCAACAATGATTATTCCATTCAACATATTACATTTATTCGAATAATATTTCAAATTTATCTCATATTATTCTGCACATAATTTTGTTATATTATATTATATCATTTATTCAAATATTCAAACATGATAGAATGGTTTCATGCTACAAAAGGACTAACGATTATTAGTTACCTGACTATGATAATCCTTTTACTTTATTTATATCCTTTTATTAAAATAAAGTACAATAGCTAATAAAAAGGTTCAATATGGCAGTAATTTTTTTTGCGCTTATTTTGAAAGATCGATAAAAATAATTATTTTTGTTAGTGGCAAAAATTAATCTTCATTCTATTTTCCCGATTTTATAAAAATGCAGAGCTATTATTATTATTGCATTTAAGTCTTCATTTATATTATAGTCATGAAGTAGCGTTTTATAAAGTATAGCGTGCGTCTATTTCAATCGAATTCGAGTTTTAACTTTTAACCATCACTTATATTTTTAATCTCGCGAATATTTAATGGATTTTGCCTTGTAGCAAAAATTTCCTTGAACGATCGAATTTATTCTCTTACTTAGATCATCAAATGAATATGTTTGGTATATTTTTGTCAAGGATTAAAATAATGCTATTGGTTTTTAATTATAATAATAATATGCGTTCTTAGTATATATTTATGTACACAATTGCGGAAAAAATTGAATAGTAACTCATATGCAACTGTAAGCCAAATACTACTGTACTTCAAATAGAAATAAATTTCGTATTCTCTCCATCACATTTCATATCATGAAAAGATTGAGACTCTCAGAACATCGGAATTTCCGGAATAGAGTAATCTTCTTTTGTCAACCGCGTTTATTACAATGCTTAGAGTCACGTCTCCGTCAATGCCATATCTCACTTTCGTTGCATTATTCATGTCTTCTAACTACAATCCAAATTCAAGGATTTTTAAGAGGATGTAATATAACGTATCGCTAATTTCACCAGAGAAGAAAAATTCGTTCCGTTAAAACAAAGGATAGAGTTTCATTCTATTCTCGCTGGAGTTTGTGTTTTAATCATGATGTAATTATCACTATTCCAGGTAATAGTGCTCGACTCAAAAATTTATTTAATACAATGAAGATACGCTGTGATTTCTACAACAGTGGAGTTACCTACGCCGTTGTGTGGCTGTCGTTAACTTATCTGCTGTTCATCCTCTCGCTAGCAACAATAATCACCGCCAGTACGTTCTCTATTCTTCTATTTTATTCGTTATCTACTCTTTGTTAATTGGACTCATTTCCGTCCAATATGCACGCAAACGTAAAGCTTAACAAACAGAAAACAATCACTATAAAATAACTTTTAAAAATGAATAGTCATTTTCATTGTGCATTTTGATTTGACGCCAGATTTAAATAGAACTTGTAAATACTTGCACGGGATCGTTCTTACTCTGAAAATTAAAGTAAAAAGTTTACTCTTTGCTTTCGAGTGTCGGCGTTCAAATTAAAGTAACAACCTTGTCTTTCTACTTATTCTAATTTTCCAATCTTTCCAATACATTAGTGAAACCTTATAAAAAGCAATCATTACTGATTTTTTTTATTTCCAACTGCTATCAATCAAAGGTTGACATAACAAGAAGAACGCGCATTTTATTGAAATCGAATTACTCTATCAGAATTAAATTATTAATTTTCTATATTCTTTTGTTTTAATAAACTTTCATTCGTTATATTCCATGTTTTCTTTTTTGAGTTACTCGAAAGTATTCGCTTACGGTACCGCTTTGAAACGCTATCACATGTTAGATATGTATAATAAGTATGATAAAACGATAATTAAGTTAATAAGTAGGATATCGAGAAGTCGATATCCATCGACTGAAGCTACTTTTATTGTCTTTGTCATTGTACTACGCATTGTACTTTTGTCAGAAAATGATCAAAAACTCGGTTTTTTATATATCCGAGAAAGCAATATATAATAAATTTTATTTTAAATGTATGTAAATAGAAAAACATACTTGATTTATGTTTAAAAATCTTTTTTTTCTTGTGTCAATTTATTGCAAAAGGACAAAGAAATAAATAGCGATAAATAGCTACATTAAAAATTTATTCGGTAACGCATCTGCAACTTAGCGCTCTTATCTTTCATAAATATATTGTATTTTGTATTAAAATTGAGAAAAAAACAAGAGAAAAAAAATTTTTAAACAAATTATATATGTTATTCTTTAATTTGCACAAAAAGCCTGCAATCATTGTGTTTTCCTTTCTCCATACAAAAAAAGTAAGAAAGAAATAAGAACGTGAAAAAACTTTCATAATTTTTTAAAAAATTTTATCATTAAATAAGACATAGACTTTCTCTTGCCAATTATTTTATTTTAATGATAAGCTTTTATCATAACAACTGACGCAATAATTTATTCTTCATTATGTTATTTTCTTCTATAAAAGCACCTCCAGATGATTTGACAAATATATGCCAACATGAGCAAATATCATACGCATACATGACGTACATAATTATTCATATTGAATGTATTGATCAATATTTAACAAATGTTTGCGAAGTTCGCGTATATGTCGATCTGGAGTCATATCGGATGTCATATCGTCTGGAGGCGCCTTAAGTATTGTACCTACATCACAAAACTTCATATTGCAATTTTGTCTTTTGGTTTGAATTGATTATGTCAGTTTAACTAATGAATATAAAAGGCACTTCTTAATTAAAAGAGATTCAAAAAATGTTTCCTCTAATGTATGCCGAAAATACGAAAATACGGAATAATTATCAGATATCGCTTAGATAGCTTGAAATGAAGTTCAAATTTTCATTTTATTCAATTTTTCAATGTATTTGTATAATCATAAGGTAAATATATTAATATAATAAAAATCCATTGTGCACAAATTACTGCGCCGTTATATCCTTAATCGTCTTTTAATTATTCTTTTATTATTTTAATGTCTCGCTTTCATTATATTTATACGAAAACAGAGTTCCATTATTTACGAATGAATTTATGATGGCAGAGCCGACCATCAATGAGATTGACACCAGTATGACTAGCAAGAATGCTACAAACGAGACATGCCCACCTATCATGTGTCCCATAATGATATGCCGCTGGGGATTCAGCCACGAAGTATGTATATGTCTACTATATATAAAACTATACATCTACTTTAGACTTAGCATATTTAATATAAATTTATAATTATCATTATTGAAAATATATAATCGCAAATAGGACAAAGAGGGAATAAAATGATGAAATGAATAAGATGATGAATTACTAATTTTTCTAAGTTAATAACAGATATTCGATCAATTGAACTTATTAAAAAAAAAATAATAAATATTCTCTTTAGTTAGTTTAACTTCAATTTGTCCATAAATATAAATAATATAAATATAAATAATATAATAAGAAATATATTTTAGACGCAATATTTATATGTAATTCTTCGGTCTGTTTATATATAAGAAATAACACAATTATACATTCACTTTCTTTCGTTACATTTCTAACTAAAAAATAGTAAAAATTTTTTATATTATTAATAAATCTGAAGAAAATTAACAGAATTCATTGAAAATGAGACGCTCTGTATATAGAGATATAAAAAAGAATTTGTGTATTTTTAAATAGAATTTTAGATTTTTTCTTTACATAAAATAATCTTGATTCTTTTTTTCTACATAAAAATTTTTAATGAAAATACTGTTACTGAAAAATTCAACGTTTTCGATAGACCGATGAAGTAACCGGCTGTCAAACGTGCAAGTGCTGGGATCCCTGTTCCAACATTGAATGTCCAAAAAACAAGATATGCGTGCTACAAATGCGAGCATGTTTTACAACACCGTGTCCCCCGTTAACTACCTGTGAGAATATCATGTCTTCATCAACATTCTAATATGCAGGCAAATCATTGTAAATCACCAATTCGCAACGGCTATTCGCAACGTGCCAGGTAAATCAATTCGTCCATTGATGTACAGCTGTCTAGTGTAGAGTATCTTTAATAAAAGTTAGGACACCTTATATCAATTTATTTATGTAAAGTTTTAAACAGAATTTAAAAATTAAAAATGATTAAATAAATTATATATAATAATTAACTCTTAGTACACACGTTAGTTTTTGGTTAGTACCCTTAATACATACGTTCGGTCATTCGTGTCTTAATTCGTTAGCTTAATTTTCATCACTTTTACAAGTATATATATAAATTATTAAACAATACATATTGTTACACATATTTTGACATCTTTAGAAAATATTTGTACAGTTATATATTCATAACAAAATGTAGATAAATTGTAAGTAATAATGTACTAAATGTAGTACACGAAATCAGAAAAATGAACTGTTTCACATAAAAATATAAAATTCTGAAACAAAAATATTTAAAGGAATAGTATGGTTCAGTATCTTAAAATTGACATTCCAAACTATAAGAAAAAAAATAGTTCAAGTGTCGGCCGTCCAAAAAGTTTATTATTGAATAATCTGAAAATGTTTTTTTAATATACACGAGTGGCTATAAATTGAAAATATATTGCATTTACATTTTAAAACAATGTATTTTATTATTGCTATTGTGTTAAAAAAAACTTGTAATTTATTAAGAAAATATTCTTTATAACATTACAGAGATACAGCATAATATATCATATTACTCAACATTTAGAACAAGAGTATCAAAAACGTGTTTATTAAGGGCTGATATGCTGTTTTAGGATTAAATTCTTTTTTTAATAATTCGTGAAATATTCTCGCGATACAATCGAGAATTAGTTAGTTTTAAAGAAAAAAAAAATTTTTTTAGTTACAGAAAATGTGTGTACTCTGTTCACACCTATGGTCATTTGTAACCCAGAGATGAACTTCGGAATTTTAGTTAAAGGATACGCACAAATTGAGGCCGATAACGCACAAAACTTGATTTTTAGATGCAAAACTTTTTTTAGGAATAGAAAAAAGACCGGTATTTGATCAATGCTCTTAGTATTTCAAAAAACAGAAATGGACACGAAAGTGTATTAAAGGTTAAAAATGATTAAATAAATTGTATATAATCATTAAAATTTGTTTTTTACTAAATTAATAAATAATCAACTTATCAATGTTAACTGATTATTTAAAATCAAGTAAACGTAACACTCGAACTTTCGACGTACCACGAATGCCCGACATAATTGTCCCA